AACAGAGCTGAGATTGCAATTGAAGTTAAAATAAAAATTGAGTGACAGAAGAGACTTATTATAAATCCTTATTTTGGGACGTTGATAATTTTGCTGGTTCATATTAGGCTGAAATTCAGAATATACATTGGCAGCCTTGATATATATTTTTCAGTTATTCTTATATAATCCAGTATAAGTCCATTCAATCATTTGTGAGTTTTAGAGCCTTTTAAACTAAATCAAGTAAATTTTAAAATCTCATAAAAGTGATGCACCCATAGCACCGGACAGGCCAAGAGTGGTATAGTTTCACCACACCATTCTGCCGATTTGCCTCAGTCCTAACCTCCATCCCCGCCCTCCCCCCCCTCCCCCCACGCACCCTGGGCCCTCTGTTCCAGTCCGCAGTCTGCCAGGGCATCTGTGTTGGCTTGCAGGACTTCTACTATTCCAGTACTAGAACAACCTGTAGTATCTGGGGGAGGAGGAGGAGGTTTTTCAGTATCCAGCGTAATTTTGCTAATTAGTTCCACATAGTTTCAAGAAATTTTACTAATCTTGCCGCGGGAAATGAAATTTAAGAAAAAGACGTGGTGTTCCTGCTGTCAGCCAGCCAATGGCCACGATCAGCAATGGCTCTGCCAGCTCCAGCGTCAGGGCACGTGCTGTCAGTCAGCCAATGGCCACTAGCCATGATCAGCAATGGCTCTGCCAGCTCCAGCGTCAGGGCACGTGCTGTCACGTCAGCAGTGTTCGGAATACTCAGCTGTAGCCATATTTGGCTTCTGTATAAGTCACCGATTCTGGCATCTTTGAGCTTTTTGTGTTGCCAGCTCTTTACTGTTTCTTCTTTTCTCCAGCTAGTGGTATTATACAGGGACCCTTTGCACAGACAGTTGCCTTTCAGAAGCCTCCTTTTTCTCAAGACTTTCTCAGTCTTCAGTTCTTGCAGTTTTAGAGGAAGCATTAAGGAAATCTATACATTATTTTCACTGACTTATCATGCTGCTGCTTATCTTCCTTGAGTTAGCAGGAGAACACAGCACTAGGCAGCGGTCTGTTGTTGATCACTTAGGTGACCTGATCTGATTGATAGAAACTCAAAAAGGAAAAAAACTTGAATCAGTTCGTTGCCGCTCGTTCAGTATTTTGTATCTCTGTGTTATCATTTGTTGTGCATTATCTTGCTCAGACACAGGTGGAACTGTTCAAAGTGCTTGATGTTAGGCTCATATGTAGCCCATGTGTCTCACAAGCATGCAATAAAGAAATGTGAATGACTCATTTGTTTACTTTGATCTTAATGTTCAGCCTGATTTCTTTCATCTTCCATAAATTATTTGTCAGTCAAAGTTTTAAGACATTGTATCTGGAGATTTCATCCTCAATCACAAATACAAGATGGTTGCTGCCAAGACACATGAGGGGCAGTTAGCCTTTCTCCAATTTGGAAATATTTGGTGTGACATAAAATATTCCAAGAAGACATGGACACAGGAGCTTTATAGATGAATAAGGTGACAATTATCCCTATTGTACTAATCATTTCTGTTACTACAAAGGGAGTCTGGAAGTACTTCCTCCAGGAAGTTACAGACATTGCTCATTAACATTGAGGAGTCCCTCAAAGCAGTCTTTCACTTCAGTATTTGAGGTGTTGGCTCCAAATGTCTATGCTTGACAAATTTGCTATGAACCATTTAAGCATCTTTCAGAGTAGCAGCCGTGTTAGTCTGTATCCATAAAAAGAAAAGGAGTCACAAGTACTCCTTTTCTTTTTAAGCATCTTTGCTGCAGATAAAATAGGAATATTGTAACTGAACATTCTAATTTGAAAATATGTATCTGTGGAGATATTTTAATATATTAATACCTGCCCCATAACGTGTTTCCAACCATTCTATTTCTAAAAATAAAATAAATTATATTTCTTTCATAAACTGGCAGCTGATTAGCTCAAGTGAAGAACAAGTCTTTTTTTTTTTTAAGAGAGCTAGACAGACATAATGTAGCTTTCTCTAAAGTGGATTACTGGCCCTCCTGCACCAACATCCATTGCACAGAACCAAGGGGCTTGATGAGTGATTGATTTATAATCATTTGATAAATGTGGGCTTTTGCAGTCAGTGCACAAGCAAGAAAAGTTAGAGAACTGGAAGTCAGACATTTTTCTCCAAATGCCATTGCACCAATTACTCCTGCCAAGGGGAGAACAGCATCTTCAGCATTTCTTAGTCATTGTTCCCTGTGTAGATCTTATTTTTAATGGGAATGCCTGCGTGACCACTAGGGATGAAACTCTGAGAAAAATCCTGTCATTGGTTGAGGTATAATGGCCCTAAGAATCTAGTTCAGTAAACACGGGGTTCTTGTGTGCTATACTTTCCCAATGAAGTGCACGCTTTGGGATTAATTAAATTCTTTTCTATCTGCATGCCACTGTAACCTTTCTTTTATGCGTTTTAGGGGTTGCACAATGTAAAAAGTCAAATCTATTATCTGCATGACTCCAAGCGAAAGAGCCGAGATAAAATTATGCATGTCCTTTAAATGAACAAGGCAGAAAACATTTAGTGTTGCATATTCATTTAGAACAAAATGCAGTTGTAGAAGAATCAGGTTAACAACCAGGAGCAAGCCAGGTAAGGCTAACCTTCCTGCACACACCAAGGAGGTGGTGCCCTGTTGCGCAAACTTTGTTCTAAACCAGCCTGAACTTCGTAGAGGTTAAGCCGTGTAGTGATCTTACAGCCTTCAGTTTCCTTCATCGTGCTCTCCATGGAGTGTATTTTCTGTGGGTTGTTGTTAAATAACATTTTTTAAAGTATGTAAATTTTTTTCAATCCATCAGTTATGTAAATAAGACACTCAGCCTGTTCAGGCCTTGGATTTGACACATGTTTAAGTTTCAGAGTAACAGCCGTGTTAGTCTGTATTCGCAAAAAGAAAAGGAGTACTTGTGGCACCTTAGAGACTAACCAATTTATTTGAGCATAAGCTTTTGTGAGCTACAGCTCACTTCATCGGATGCATACTGTGGAAAGTGTAGAAGATCTTTTTATACACACAAAGCATGAAAAAATACCTCCCCCCACCCCACTCTCCTGCTGGTAATAGCTTATCTAATAGTGATCACTTTAGGTAATGGGAAAGGGCATTTGTTGACACTGCTGCTGCTAGGTATTTAGGAACAGCAGTGAGTCCAAGATGGCTCCCAGACTTCACAGTACATTGACAGTTGGACAGCAGCTGCCCTCAGTACAGAATGGAGTCACAGCTCCAGCATGTTCCTCAGAGTATTGCCCCTTTCCCATCAGCATACCTCCATCTGACCCATCTTGAGTTTGAGCCAGATACTTTTAATCCTAGTGCTTATTTCTTCTAGGCACTAGGACAGCTGAGTATTCTGACATGTATTATTTTTGAATGTGAGAAGGATGGAGAGCTGCATGTTAGCGTATTGCAGGCATCAAACACCATAGCATCTGACCACCTCCCCTAGTGGTCTAACATATATGTCAAATAAGGAAGAGGACAGGATTACAGGTCTTCACCCTTGCAAGCCTCAGGAAAAAGTGTAACAATGATGGTGATAGATAAATAACCCTCTCAACAAAAAAAATGAGGAGTACTTGTGGCACCTTAGGGCTTGGCTACACTTGCGAGTTAGAACACATTAAAGCAGCCCCAGGCACCCTAGCTCACTACCCATCCACACTGGCAAGGCATGTAGAGCGCTCTGACTCCACGTCTAGAGCCCTCCTGGTACTCCACCTCGGCGAGAAGATTAATGCTTGTTGTGCCTTGGCTGAAACGCCCGGGTGTCAGTGTGAACGAGGTGTTGCATTACTGCGCTCTGATCAGCCTCTGGAAATGTCGCATAATCCCCTTAAGTCAAGTGGCCACTCTTCTCATTGTTTTGAACTCGCTGTAGGAATGCGGCTATGCCCTTTGAAAACTCCGTTTCTGACAGCTGGCTGCTTATCTGCTCCGAGACAAAGGGGGGATCTGCTGCTGTCTGAACTTACAAGACAGCCTGCTGACATGCTCTCAGCCCCCCCTCCCCAAAACCCACTCTCTCTCCCCCCACATACACACAGCACACTCCCTGTCACACTCCACCCCACCCCACCCCCATTTGAAAAGCACGTTGCAGCCACTTGCATGCTGGGATAGCTACCAGAATGCACTGCTCTCTGTGGCCATTGCAAGAGCTGCTAATGTGGCCACTCCAGTGCACTTGTAGCTGTCAGTGTGGTATTTAACTCACACTGTTAGAAGTCTGTAACTGATAGAAAACACAGCCGTTTGGATTCTGATGGGTGCTAGCATGTTTGAACATATGAACCCAATCACGTTCTGACAGGATTCACCTTAACTGTAGGGGCTTATGCTGATTTTTCAAAGACAAATTAAGAAAGCTCCACAGGTTATAACACCTGACACTAATGGTCACCAGTTGGGTTCACAGACAGACCTCACAGCATCAGTCTTGAAATGTCCCTTTAGACAGTGGTTTATGTCCAAATAAACTCCTATTTAAATCACTGAAAATCTTTCTGTTGACTTCAGTGGGAATTTGATCAGGTCCTGCTCTAGCTAGGATGCCTTCTCTGGTTTTGTGGAATCAGCAATGAAATCCCATCCTAGTGTCTGTGGTTAAGACCTATGTACATTCTGATGCTTTTAACTGATTCTGATTAATCATTAATTCTCCAGGTGTATTAACTGTTACTTTTATTATAAAGCTTTTAAAAATGCTTGGACAGGAAAAGGTATTATACAAGTTTAAATGATAACACTTGGTTGCAGGTTCCTCTGCTTAACCAGCAACGAATTTGAAAAGAGTCATAAATTTGTTAGTCTCTAAGGTGCCACAAGTACTCCTTTTCTTTTTGCAAATACAGACTAACACGGCTGCTACTCTGAAACCTATAAACATAAAAGTTAATTCTAATTTTAATAATTCCATTATCCATTAAAAAGAACTAATTTTGTGCATAATTCTTATCTTACAGAGCACATGGTAAGCACGAGACCATCTCCCGATCCATGAAGTCAACAGAAGTTATTCTAAGCAGGTGCTTGTGGTTAGTGGAGATGAATTAGTTGTGTGTGACTAGCTCTTGGAGGATGCTGAAATGTTGCTAAGTATTGTATGGAATTGCATTTTTTAGCACCACATGAAAGAGAAAGGTATGGTCATTCAGATCAAATTTTACAAATGTGCATACCAAGTTTTGCATAAAAGTAAACAACGCTAAAGTGAGGGACATCATATTGGTGTAGGTATTAAGATAAAGTTATGCTAAGTTATATTTTTAGAAGATATGGTGCATTGTTTTCCTGACAGAAACAGCCCTTTAGAGAAACGTTAACTATAGACCATGCACATCACTTAAACACTAAACATAACAGTTCATACGGATTTTTTTTTCCAATTTATAGTTTGATAAAGAAAGGTAGTCCATATAGGTGTATTCTGTCCAGGCCCACAAAACCACTTTTATGATTTGGACAAGTTCACACTTCTGGTTTTACCTTTACACAGTCCCAGGCAGAAATATTTAATATTTAACACTCTGTATCCGTAAATAATTGATGTGCCTGTCTTAGCGACTGAAGATCAGTAGCAAATTTTATTTTTGACAAGAGTAATAAGGTTCTCTTGCCTTCTTAGCTTTTTTATATTACATGTTAATTTTCACTGTGCTGTTGAGAACACGGGATTGACTTCTTCCAGTTTAAAATAAAGAGCTGTAGCATTCCATTCATTTTGGGAAAGATCTTTAGGGGAAAACCAGGATACCCTTTGGGCAATTCCAGCCATGGAGCATTACTATTTCTGCACTTTTGTCAGTACAAGCCTCCCTGCTCTGACATCACATGAGAAATAATAATTGTAATGCTTCGGACGATTTTAGACAAATCCCCATCTACACAGGAGGAGGAGATCTCTGTTCTTTTTGTCGAAGCAAAATATCTAACAATTTCAGTTTGATTTACAAGAAACACTGCATGTGTGAACTGATGGAGAAGGGTGGTCTTATGTTTAAGAGACTGTGTTGGGACTCAGGAGATTTGGGTTCAGTCCTTCACTACAAACTCCCTATGTGACCTTGGGCAAGGGATTTAGTCTCTGTGCCTCAGATCCCCATCTGTACAATGGGGATAATACTACATTTCCCTCCCCCATCAGCTGTTTTATATATTTTTACTATAAGGTCTTCAGAGCAATGGCTCTTAATGTGTATTTCCAAAACAATGGGGCCCACATCTTGTTTGGAGGCATTTAGGCACAGCTGTGATGTAATAACAGTAACAACAGTTCCTAGTTTAAACACAGGAATTATATTATTTGTCAATTAAGTACTAACTCTGTCTATAGAATAGGTAACAGGCAAATCTGAACTACAAGGCTAGACTACCATGGAGGAGGTTCTTTTGTCAAGATAAGTCTAGAGGGCAGAGCAACAGTGGTGCTGCCCCCAGAAGGTGTTGTACATCAGTTCTTTTGCACTGTGGTTTTGGATTATAATGTGAGTCTACATCGCTTTTTTCTTGCCTCTTCTACCCCACTCTTTCCTCCCCTTCCATTTTTATTTCTGTTCTTAACCTGCTTCTCCTTTCTTTTCCCCCATTCTTCTCTTTTCAGTGTCTGAGGCCAAAATTTTTAAACTTGGGTACCTAATCCATATTCAGACATCTAGATAGAAGGTATCCTCATTTTTCAGAGGTACTGAGAAATCCTGGCTCTCACGATAATCAATAGGAGCTGCAGATGTTCGAAATAACATTTTTATTTTACTCAAAATAAGGACAGTAGTTTAGATGCCTAAATAAAGATTTAGGAACTTAACTTTAGGTGTTATATTGAGGTTACAACATTTTGTCCACAGATACTTTTCCATGAATGTTTTAATTCAAATGCTCTTGGAGAACTGACTCAGACTAACCTGCAGATAACAGTAAAACAGTAACTTATAGAAGAGTTGCAGAAAGTCTCATTTTCCCCACGTAAGGAAGAGGTTGGTTACAATACGGAGTTTCAATTCATGTCTTAGACTGGGATTGAATAAACAAGCTCTACTAGATTTTTCTCCTATCTCTTGGTTTTCTTGCATAAACAGGGAGCTGTTCATTCAGCACCACTGTTTCCGTCAGCTATATGCCAGGAGCATAGACATTAGCTATTATTCTCTAATATTCTAGGACCAACATAGCTACAACACTGCATAGGAGCATGAACATTAGTTTTGTTTTTCTAAAGGACTTAATTTTTTTGTGTGCTCCAAACTAAATGTTTACTATTGAGGCTACCAGTTTAAATCCTGATGAAACCCACAGGACAGGCTACACAGCGAAATAATTTGTCCTCCAGTCCAAAGTGTTTTGTTTAATGATGTAGGCTCAGGAGCACTGAGTCAGATTTGGCTCCACGGAAGGCAAGGGAGTTGCACTGGCTGTCCTCGATATAAAGGATCACAGTAGGGATGGAAAAAACCCAAATGATAGATTACTGAGTTCTTCCTTTTGAAAAGGTAGGGTATAATCCTCTCCAATAGGGGATCAACCCCATATTTTTAGTTCCTGGTAATTTATATACTTTTCTAACTCCTACAAGACAATTTCAGGCTCTATGATATTTAAGTTATTTGCATGACAGAGCCATCTGCAGAGTATACACCTGTAGGGAGCCTTAGAGAGGGAAACATGTTTCATTGTGTATTCACCCTGTCTTGCTAAAGTTGGGAAATGTGATTAAATACACACAGAAAGCGCACTTTTTAAAGTACCATGAAATGTAATATTTTTTCAAAAAAAAAGCCACCAGGGATGTGTACAGTTACAGCGTTTGGTTAACTCTTTTACTCTATATCCAGACAAAAAGGCTAGTATTGCTTCATTTAAAAAGGAAAAATAAAATGTTACATATAGCTTTATTGTAATCATATCATTTTTAAAATTAAGTGTCTGTTCACTCTTTTAACTGATTATTTTTAAGAAATTTGGCATCCTTAGTTTTAAATCAGCTGAGAAACTTTGCACACACACTACAAAAGAAAAAGGCTTCCAACGTTGTCAATGTAGCCATTAAAACTGCATAAATCATTTTGATTTTTGATGTTTGCCATAGCAACTGTAGACATGTGGTTTGCTGAATATCCATAGCAGGATGTTTGAATGCATTCTCTACAGCTTTTCACTTCTGTATATAACTAATTATGCCAAATCATCACATTAACCCATTGACCAAGCTAGTGCCACATCTAACATGGCATGATAATGAAGAAAGTATTTTTAAAATGTTTTCATACTTCACTTTGCTCAAAATTTTTTACAAGGGGAACAGATATTACATTGCTCCCACCCCAAAATCTGTATTGCTCATCTGGTGGCAGTAAGAGCTTCTGACACATCAAAATTCTTAATTCTTTGCAGCTTCCGATAGGTAGGTATTCACATAGCTGCCCCATAAGGCTAAGACAGAGTCAAATCCCTTAACATGTATACACACAGGGTCATTCCTTAAAAGATACTTGAATATATAATTGTATTTAGAAATGTGATGATTGTGAACCTATGAGGCAGAAACTTGGCAGGATTCTTTTAAAATGATAAAAGTCACTGGATCGCAAATTATTTAAATTCAAGCAATAGCTGTTTTATTATCATCTTGTTGCAAAATAGTTACAAGAAAATACATAATTTGTTGGCATTGTATTTGTGACTCTGGTGAAAACCTATGTTCATGTCGCATTCAGAACACACTGCACAGGTCATATTGCAGAATATTCTTCTCTGTTTTAGAGGAAGACACTCATCACTACCGTTCCCAGCTTTAGTTCAAAGGTTGACTCAGTCATCAGTGAAAACAAACCAACAGGTCCTTTTAGAGAAGTTCCATCCTCCTGAGGATCTAAGGAAAAATATCCCTTTTGAGCATTTAGTCACACACCTAGAAGGAAACAACCGTTTCAATCTTCATTTGCATTGTGCAGGCGTTAGATGTGGTCCAGTTACACTGAGCTCTGCTTGAGAAGGCAGAAGTGCCAGTACTGTTCAAGCTTTGATGGAGATGGAGAGAAAACTCCGTCAGGCAAATAATACCTAGCTCTGCCAAGGTATCTTCCCCCTTTTAAAAAGACAGAACAATTTACTTTGTTTCTGGAGACATTCTAATAGCAAAAGTTCCCTAACATCAATTCTAGAGAGCTGGACCAGGAACTGATCCTTAGACTACTTTGCACCTACATTGAGGCATAACTTGCAATGCCCAAGTATAGAAATCTGCTCTTTGACCTTGGATATTCAAAGGCATAGTCTGCTGTAGAGGATGCCAGGCATAGCTCTATAGACACTCTTCTGGGCATGCGAGAAGCAGTAGTGATAGCATTAGAAGGAAGCTGAACATCCTTCCCTTCTTTGCCAAAAGTAAGGATATCAAGTGTGTGCATTTTCAGGTGGAGAGGAAGAGTAAAGTGCCAAGTTGCGGTGGAATTACATATCTCAAGACTGAGAATCCCCAATATACAAAAAAGATGTAATTGGCAAAGTTCTTGGATAAGGCACCACAAACTGCTGCAAACTTTCCTTTCATTAAATCTTAAATACCAAGTTTAACATGGAATCCTCTTGCCTCAGAATGACTTACAGAAACTGCTATCAGATATAAAGTAACTATACAAGAATTTTTGTTAAGCTAATGAGTGAACAGAAGCGGTTTGAATTGCATGCACTCCACTGGAACTCCCAAAACAATGCTTTAATATTTATTTAAAAAAATTACAGAAAACAATGCAGAAAAAATCTGACTTGTAAGAATAATTCACTCTTTAGATGTCACAAGTAGTTTCCAGTATCAGTGTGTGTATACAAGTAGTTCAGAGCTCTCTCTGTTGAGTAAAAGCCTACACACACTTTTATTAGATAAAAGGGGAAATAAAGCAGTGTAAAAATGCAGTAAAACTGGCAGAAGGGACTGATCCAAAGCCTACTGAAATAAATTAAAAGACTTTCCTATTGACTTCATGGGGCTTTCGATCAAACCCTAAAAACAGGTGTTAAGAAGAGAAGAAAAGGATAAATGTGAAAGGAAAAGAGCATTTTTTTTAATCCAATAATCAGAGGAGACAAAAATTCCTTTACTCTTTTAATTTTTTTTCTTCAAGTTAGATTGTGATTTGATTCTGCCAAAACTGGAGTTCTTAATGTCCCATCTTGAAGACTCTGTTACTGCAAGGCAGGTTCAGCCTTAGTCTGAAAAATCTCAGACATACTGAGTGATTAATCCAACTAGGTTTAAAAGATATTAGTCACATGCCAGTGCCCATCCTCACCCACAAGCATACAAAAATAGACTCGTGACAAGACGAAAGAGCTCATTGACTTTTTCCTGTAATTCTTTGACAAGAGAACTGTCCCTGAAAACAGCACTTGTATACATTTTGGGGAAAGTCTTCAGGACTGAAGACTTCTTCAAGGGGTGAATCTGAAGATAAGGGGTCAGGAAACTGACTTATTTTTCTTGTCATTAATTAAATAATGACAAAATAAGACTTCTCTAAGGGTGAGCTTTGCTTTCTTCATGAGCAAACATTGACAAACTAGAGTAGTCTGTTAAAGTCCATGCCATGTTAGCAGTGCTTCTTCAAGCTGCATGCTCTGCCCGTCTAACTTACAAGAAAGTTCAAAGCAGATGGACTCCATTAGTGAGAAAATGGGGTTTCATGGCTCAAGAAATATTTTTATGCTTCCTACAATTCAAGATAATGCCCTTCCCTTCTCATAAAAGAGAACTAATGAGGAATTAAGGTCCATCAGTACTCACATTCAACCCTTGTCTTGTATAGCCAGATAATAAAGATCTACCTTATCTGTAGATACGATTTCACCCCCAGATTGCTCAAGGTAGAACTGTTTGTCTTTACTGTTTAATGGATTCAGGTCCACCATCTTCCTTTGCTCCCATCCAGATGGCTGACTGGTTGAGTAAGGCTGAAGAAGAAATGGAGGATGAGTTTGAGCTTGTTGTGCATCAGCTATAAGTGATACATTCTGCATTAGATTTCTCTGTCTTCTAGCATTATATCTATTTATGACTGTCATGGAATACTGCCTTCCAGCACACCCATTCATGACCCTGCAGGTATATTTCACACAGCACCCCTTCATGTCCTTTCAGTTGTCACCCAAATGAAACTGGTTCAAACAATGTACCCCCTTCATAGGGCCTGATTTATTAAGTCTTTCTAAAAGTGTAACTCACTTTATTAGCTGCCTCAGTCCACCCCATTCTGTGTCCACATAAGAGTCCTGGTCAGCTCTAATCCCTGTTCAGGAAACCCTCACCCACTTCCTGGAATGGGAGCTGTATTTCAAAATGGTAACTCTCTCTCAAAACAGAAGTTTCCAACTCCTCCTTGGAGTTGGGTTGTAAGTAATTAGACAGTCCCTCTCTCTCTCCTCAAACCAGGAATAGCCAGCTCTCCTCCTGGAGCAGAGTATTTATCAGTGAAACAGTCATTCTGTCTCTTCTTACAGAAGGAGCCTCAGCTCTCCTCCTAGGGCTAGGTAATTCAGGCAGCTATTTCCTGTTTCCTTAAGCCAGGAGTCCTCAGGTCTTCTCCTGAAAGCTGATTTGTAATTTAGCCAGCTTTTTCTTCAGCTAGCCCCTTCCCCCACCCCCATTAGTCCTCAGAGGATTAAGCAAGTAGCCATCTCCAGTTATGTTGGTCCTCTTCTCCCAGCTCATCCCACAATTGGTTGAGTGAGTGGAAGCCTTGCCCCAGGTTCTTAAAGACACAATGATGGGATTTCCTCCCAAGCACCAGTCATCCCTGGGATTGCGTCCCCTCTATCAATATCTCCTATATGTGTCTGTATATATGCAGATAGGGGTGGGCTGACCCCTAGGAATCCTATGCTGAAGGGACAGACTACCCCTTCACAAAGACTATTCTGGGATATCCGCTTCCTAAGGAAACTTGTTTTCTGTCAATTTTCCAATGTCTTTGGTTGCTTTTATTTTAGCTCAAGAGTGTCTCGCTCATAATTTGTTTCTTTAGATTTGTTTAAGATTGCCTGTTTAATTTGCCCCTTAAATAAGTTTTTTCAATTTAATTGAACCATAGTAATTCCAGTAGCATTTTCAACAATTATAATGCATTGATATGTGTCAATATCCACAACATTTCTAAAGATTCTGTGGCTCTTTGCTACTCAGACATAGGCCAACAGATAAAAATGTGAGTTTCACACATGTAGAGGTGGCAGCCAATGAACATGCCAAAATCACTGTCCAGGACAGTGAATAAGCATATGAGAGTCAGTCGGAGACTGATAGCTCTCTTAGCAATTGTCACGCGAAAATAGGCACAATTTTATTCATACCATTATAAGAGTCTAGACCCCAGTGAAAAAATCTAAAAGTAAAACAAGATGAACTACGTTTGGCAATAGAAGAGAATCCAAACATGACAGGAATTTCTGACATTAATGGGATGATAGTAATAAATAGAACACTCCAATACCTAGATATAAACCATGCAAGAAAAACTTTCTTCCAGATTAGAACAGTAAAAGTGCCCCGCACTGAAAGAGCGCTCACTGAATGTAGTGTTCACACATACTGTTTTACAGTAAAATATTTGACTAGCCCAGTGTCATCTTAGAACATTCCCTCTTTAAGCTGATGTTGTGAAGCCAGGGATCAGTTGAAAGCAAGATCATCTGGTCCTCATAAAAGCCAACAAGTAACGCAGCTGAGCATGGTCAGGGGAAAGAACCCAGAACTAGATCCACAGAATGATATAAGCACCTAAATCCAAAATATAAGTGACAGTGAGACCTTCAAAACCCTTGCCCAGGTGCTGCCTAACTCTGTAGGCACTTACATTCCTGCTGGTAAAGTTCCCTAGGTGCCTAAGTTTCTGCAAGTGAGCGTGTACACAGCCACCTTAGTCTCTGTGCCCACCGCACACATAGACCCCAGCAGGATTGTCAAACTAGGCACTGCCTCACCTCTCTTGCATGCAGGGCCCAATCTAGTAGATGCTGTCAGAGCACCCCTAACTCCACAGAAAACAGCAAGCAGAGGAGGTGCATCCCTTATAATTTCTATCCAAGAGATTAGAGCACTCAGGATGAGGGAAACCCACCTTCATTTCTCCCCTCTACCTGATGTGGAAAAGCTTAGATCCCCCCTTCCTAGAAGGGAGGGCACCCTCACCAGTGGGCTATGGGGTATTCTGTAGTATGACTCTCTCAGTCTCTCCTGTTGAAGCTGTTCCACTGAGTATAAATAAGTAAATATTAATTAGACCAGAAGGCCTTGAACTTGGATCTCCTATCATAGCTGAGTGGCCTAATCACTGGGCTAGAGAGGTATTCTCACTTGGTCTCTGGGTCAGTGACTATTTAGTTACTATACACAGTGGAATCACTTCATCCGGAGAGACTGAAGTCACCCCCCACCCTTGCCCAGTGGCTGCAGCACTCTGGTAGGAAAGCAGGAGACCTATGTTCAAATCTCTACATCAGATGGACGGGAAATTGAACTCGGCTCTCACACATCGTAGAGGACTACTTTAAGCATTAGGCTAAAGTTTATAAGGGGGAGCACCACCTCCTTTAATAGTATTTCTTACAAAAGAAAGCTTAGGTAGCTTTTCCCCTGGAGACTGAGGGCTTGTCTTCACTTAAAATGCTACAGCACAGATAACTACCTACACCAATGGGAGGGATTCTCCCACAGGCACAGCTAATCCATCTCACCAAGGGACAGTAGCTAGGTTGACGCAAGAATTCTTCCATTGACCTAGCACTGTCTACACGGGGACTTAGGTCAGCTTAACTATGTCACTCAGGGGTGAGGACTTTTCCCACCCTAGAGCAATGTAGTTATGCTGCCCTAATTTTCTAGTATAGACCAAGCCTAAATTACCTAGCTGCCTTTGAGAGATGAGTCTTAGGCCACATCCTTCTCCTTGGCATTTCTTGACTGGTTGAGGTGGCTCCCTGCTTATCAGGCTGGCTTTTGTAGATGCATTCTTAGGAACCTAACTCTCCCCTTTCACAGTATAGGGAGTCTGGGCACCTAACTCAGGGCTGTGGATTCCACTGGATGCCAAGGTACCTAAAAGTTAGGCACTGAAAGCTGACCATTGCAACACCTAGGGTCCTTTGTGGATCTAGCCTCCAGTATAAATGCCTCTCAGGCAGATTGCCTGGCAGTGTAGTCCTGTAGGTACTCCTGGGGGAATTCTGCACCACTGCACAGTGCAGAATTAATGTTCTGCCCAGAATTTCATGTCTTCTCTGCAGAGCCCTGCTCGAAGTGAGCGGCAGGTCAGCCCTGCAGGGATGGAGGCTCTGCATGCTCTGACTGCCTGGCTTGATCTTCATCCACCTGGGGACGGGAGAGGGTCCAGGAGACCCGGCTCTGGCAAAGGGTGAGGAAGGGCCGAGCCACACCGCATCACATCCCCCAGTGGTACAGTAAAGAAGCTGGGGGGAGTAAAAGCTCTGGGCATCTCCACAGCTGGGTTCTAGTGGGAGGGATGGGTGCAGGTGTCTGGGCTCTGGGGGTGCGGGAGGTGTTCCATAGCTGGGCTCTGGAGGGAGGGAGTTGTGGGTGTTTGGGCTCTGAGGGGCACCAGGCAGCCTCGTCCAGCACCCCCTAACTAGAATGGGGTTGTTGTAAGGGTTTCTTTAACTCTCTGCTCCTGGGGGAATCTTTTTGTTGTTGTTGTCTGTATTGTTGACATACTTGTTGACAGGTATTTTGAAATAAATTACCAAAATAATTAAAACTGAAGTGATTATATTGGGTTATTTTGACAAAATATGAAGAACCAGGGACACACACAAATACAGAGTACTTAAAAAAGCAAACAAGGTGGGTAAGAAGAACAGGAGTACTTGTGGCACCTTAGAGACTAACAAATTTATTAGAGCATAAGCTTTTTCTGAGCTACAGCTCACTTCATCGGTAAGGAGATTGCAGAGAAGCTATACTATTTTTTGGCATTAGTTTTTACCAAGATGGAGAGACCACAGTAGCTCCCCAGAGCTAGTTTTTGTCTGTTAGAGATTGATATTTCAAAAAGAAGGTGTTAGAACAAATACTACATTGTAATTAATCACAGGGGGCGAAAGGTATTTATCCAAGAATTCTGAAGGAATTAAATGGCTGAGCTGCTAAAACCCCCTCAAATAATCGATCATTAAAATCAGCTTCTACACCGGAGGGTAACCAGTGCTGTACCTAGTTTAAAACAGGCACTAGAAGGATGCAAGGGATTACAGACCAGTAAACCTTATTTCAGTACCAGGTAAATTAGCTGCAAAAATAATTAAAGATGGCATTACGTGATACAGATAACCAGTAGAGCTTCTATACAGGAAAAGCATGCCTCTCCAACCTAACAGAATTCTTTGAGGGAGTGAATAAAGGAAAACTAGTAGATATAATTTATTAGACTTTCAAAAAGCCTTTCATAAAATCCCTCACAAGAGGCTCTTAAGGAAACTAAAGTCACTAGGTGAGAGGTAAAGATCTGTAATGAATTAAAAACTGGCTAAGAGACAAAAAACAGGAATAAACAGTTTTCAATGTGGAAACAGGTTAGTAGCGAGGAGCCCCAAATATCCAGATTTTCATGGGTATTATTGAATCCATTGTTATAACAGAGGTTGGGTGAACCTTGTTGAAAGTGGTGGGCATGACAGCTGCCTTTCATTCAGGATACATGTAAGAAGCAGTTAAGCTCCTTTTTGGAGAAAGGTAGCTGAAACAATAGGAGCCACCACCCAAAACACAGGCAGCTGAGCATTCAGGCTTTGTCTACACTGGCAAGTTTCTGCGCAGTAAAGCAGCTTTCTGCGCTGTAACTCCTGAGGGGTCACACTGCCAAGCCACTGAGTGCGCAGAAACTGCGCAGCTGCAGCGCTGTAAAAAACCCACCCCGACGAGCGGCGTCGAGCTTCCCATGCCGGGGGCACGGCGCCGCGGTGCCGGTGTGGACACCCTGGTCCATTACGGTGCTGCGATCAGCCTCCAGGAGATGTCCCACAATGCCTGTTCTTGCTTCTCTGGTCATCGGTTTTAACCCTACCGCCCTGCCTTCAGGTGACCAACTGTCATCCCAACCCCGTAAATTCCTTTGGAATTTTGAAAGTCCCCTTCCTATTGGCTCGGTGACACATACAATGGTCTCAGCGCATCTTTCCAGGTGGCCAGGTCTGCACCACGCACCAGGCGATCCCCCGCTTGAAGCAATGCCGAGCTGCTGGACCTCATCAGCATTTGGGGAGAGGAGGCTGTCCAGTCCCCGCTGCGCTCCAGCTGTAGGAATTACGATACCTACGGACAGATTTCATGATGCATGACAGAAAGAGGCCATGACCGGAACATACTGCAGTGCAGGGTCAAAATGAAGGAGCTGCGGAAGGCCTACCACAAGGCGCGGGAGGCAAACTGCCACTCCGGTGCTGCGCCCACGAGCTGCCCGTTCTACAAAAAGCTGGACGTGATACTCTGTGGCAACCCCACCTCCACTGCGAAGGCCACTGTGGATACTTTGGTGGCTCGTGTGCCTGTGAAGAGTGGACTGAGCCAGGAGGAGGAAATCTTGGACAAGGATGTCAAGGGGGACCCAGAGGCAGAGAACAACTCGGAGGTCAGAGATGCATGCAGCCAGGAGCTCTTCTCTACCCTGGAGGAGGCTAGCCAGTCACAGCTGTCAGATCTTCGTGAAGTGCAAATAGGAGAGGAGGCTCCTGGTAAGCGGATTTGATTCTAGGATTCGCTGAAGCAAGTTGTTGCAGGCAGGAGGGTTGCAGAAAGCAGGTTTGCGTCTGTATGAAGCACATACCACCACATGCCTAGGAATAGAGTGTTGGTTGATTCCGTCACATCACAGGAATCTGCCTCAGAGATCTCCAGGAAACTCTCATAGAGATACTTTCCTGTGCCACTCTGCAGTCACTGCGGGGAGGGGAACATTGCTGTACACAGACGAGCTGCATAAGGGCCAGGGCAGAAGCCACAGTCTTGGAGAAGACCCTCCCTTGATTCCCTGCTCACCCTCAGCAGTGAGATATCTTTCATCATGTTGTTTCTTGACTTTAGCAAAGCTGTTTCTTGACTTTAGCAAAGCTTTTGACACGGTCTCCCACAGTATTCTTGTCAGCAAGTTAAGGAAGTATGGGCTGGAAGAATGCACTACAAGGTGGGTAGAAAGCTGGCTAGATTGTCGGGCTCAACGGGTAGTTATCAATGGCTCCATGTCTAGTTGGCAGCCGGTATCAAGTGGAGTACCCCAAGGGTCGGTCCTGGGGCCGGTTTTGTTCAATATCTTCATAAATGATCTGGAGGATGGTGTGGATTGCACTCTCAGCAAATTTGCGGATGATACTAAACTGGGAGGAGTGGTAGATACGCTGGAGGGGAGAGATAGGATACAGAAGGACCTAGACAAATTGGAGGATTGGGCCAAAAGAAATCTGATGAGGTTCAATAAGGATAAGTGCAGGGTCCTGCACTTAGGACGGAAGAACCCAATGCACAGCTACAGACTAGGGACCGAATGGCTAGGCAGCAGTTCTGCGGAAAAGGACCCAGGGGTGACAGTGGACGAGAAGCTGGATATGAGTCAGCAGTGTGCCCTTGTTGCCAAGAAGGCCAATGGGATTTTGGGCTGTATAAGTAGGGGCATAGCAAGCAGATCGAGGGACGTGATCGTTCCCCTCTATTCGACATTGGTGAGGCCTCATCTGGAGTACTGTGTCCAGTTTTGGGCCCCACACTTCAAGAAGGATGTGGATAAATTGGAGAGAGTCCAGCGAAGGGCAACAAAAATGATTAGGGGTCTGGAACACATGAGTTATGAGGAGAGGCTGAGGGAGCTGGGATTGTTTAGCCTGCAGAAGAGAAGAATGAGGGGGGATTTGATAGCTGCTTTCAACTACCTGAAAGGGGGTTCCAAAGAGGATGGCTCTAGACTGTTCTCAATGGTAGCAGATGACAGAACGAGGAGTAATGGTCTCAAGTTGCAGTGGGGGAGGTTTAGATTGGATATTAGGAAAAACTTTTTCACTAAGAGGGTGGTGAAACACTGGAATGCGTTACCTAGGGAGGTGGTAGAATCTCCTTCCTTAGAGGTTTTTAAGGTCAGGCTTGACAAAGCCCTGGCTGGGATGATTTAACTGGGAATTGGTCCTGCTTCGAGCAGGGGGTTGGACTAGATGACCTTCTGGGGTCCCTTCCAACCCTTATATTCTATGATTCTATGAACACAGCCTGTGGAAAATGTGGGGACAGGAATGATTATCAGGCCCCCCCTACAGTGCTGGCTCTCCCCAAGAGCCATGTGCCCAGTGTACAGTAGGGGCCGGAACACTGATTTCCCGTCCCTGCGGCTGTTTACCATTTTGGGGGTCTTGTGGCTCATGTGTGCTTGTCTGGGGTCAGTCAGTTAGTGACAGGTATGTGAATAGTGGCTGTGTTTTAAATCACTGAATCAGTGTTTTGTGTTGCAAACAACACTGCTTCTGTAAAATGTTGTGTTTTGGCTTCACAGAGATGACCTTGGGAGCCCAGCCACCCTCTTCATTATTGCCTGCTGAACAGCTGCACAGAATTAGAAAGTGGCCACGAAGAACTATGGAGGACTTTTGTGTGAGGTTACGATGTATTCCACGGCCGAACAACAGGAATTGAAGAAGTGGCAGGACAGGGAGAAGAGGGACCGAAAGGAGAATGCCGCGCACCAGAGTGAAGCCACGGAACAGCTCTTAAACGTTATGGAGCACCAAACGGACACGCTCTAGCCTATACTACCACTGCAAACCGAGCGGGTCCGCGCCCACCTGCCCTTGCAGCTGCTGTCGCAAAACTCTTTCCCACGTGCCCCCCCAGACACTCTTATCAACCTTCTGGCTGCAGTCTGTACCCGCAGCATTCCACTCCTCCCCCTGACAGTCCGGCACTGCGGACTCCCAGTACCCATTGCACTCAACACCCATCCCTCTGCAGTTTAGCCCTGTTGAAGTACAGTACCCGCTGCACTGTACTGCAAAAGGAGAAGGCTGGATACACCTGGACATACACAAATCTTTAACTGTCCTGGGACCCCACCTCCTCTTGGGACCTTCCCTTACCCTCCCCCTCAGTGCTGACGTGTTTTTTTGTTTGTCTCGCTTCCGGTTGTTGTTTTTTAATAAAAGAATTGTGTTGGTTTGAAAGAAATCTTTATTTTATTACTTGAAACCAAACAGAGCCCTGCAAAGCAATGGACAATTATCTTAAACCTTCACAGTACCTTGTCTGCATCAATCACAATCATCTCCTAGCATTACAAGCACTGCACTCCTAAGCACAGCAACAAATATTAGTGGCTTTCAGCTTCAAATTGCTGCCACTTGGCATCCCTGATCCTTATGGCCCCACGGTGCGCCCCTCTAATAGCCCTGGTCTCTGGCTGTTCAAATTCAGCCTCCAGGCACTGTGCCTCAGCGGTCCAGCCCTGAGTGAAGCTTTCACCCTTTCCTTCACAAATATTATGTAGCCTAGAACGTGCGGCTATAAGCATAGGAATATTGTCATCGGCCAGGTCCAGCTTCCCATATAGGCAGCGCCAACGGGCCAAAAGCACACTCAACAGTCATTCTGCACTTGCTCAGCCTGTTGTTGAACTGCTCGTTGCTTCTGTCAAGGTGCCCATGTATGGCTTCTTAAGCCACTGCATTAAGGGGTAGTCAGGGTCTCCCAGAATCACAATGGGCATTTCAACTTCCCCTATGGTGATCTTCTGGTCCAGAAAGAAAGTCCCTGCGTGCAGCTTCCTGAACAGGCCAGGGTTCTAAAAGAAGCGTGTGTCATGCACCTTTCCGGACCAGCCTGCGTTAATGTCCTTGAAATGCCCATGGTGATCCACAAGCGCCTAGAGAACCAGAGAGAAATACCCCTTCTGATTAATGTACTCGGTGGCTAGGTGGTCTTATGCCAGAAGTGGAATGTGCGTGCCATCTATTGCCCCTCCAGAGTTAGGGATGCCCATTTATGCAAAGCCATCTACAATGTCACGCACGTTGCCCAGAGTCATGGTCTTTCGGCACAGGATGTGATGAATGGCCCTGCTCACTTCCGTCAACATGAGTCCAACAGTTGACTTTCTCACTCCGAACTGGTTAGCGACCGATCAGTAGCAGTCGGGAGTAGCCAGCTTTCATAGTGCAATCGCCACATGCTTCTCCAATGGCAGGGCAGATCTCATTCTCATGTCCTTGTGCCGCAGGGCTGGGGCGAGCTCATCACACAGTCCCATGAATGTGGCTTTCCTCATCCAAATGTTCTGCAGCCACTGCTTGTGATCCCACCACTCAGTGCTTGTTTCCCGAGCCCAAAAGTGGAGTTCCACTGTGGTCAGCACCTCCATGAATGCCACAAGCAATCTCGTGTGTCATAGCTACTATGCGTGGCGAGATCAATGTCGCACTCCTCTTGCCTTTGTAGTTTAAGGAATAACTCCACTGTCACTCATGACATGTTAGTGAGAGTGAGCGGCATACTGATCAACAGTGCAAAATCCATTCCTGCAGACCAAAGAGGCAGAGCACGCAGTACTTGAAATATGGCGCCAAATGCGGATGGAAGCACAGTGATTGCTGGGATGTGAAGCAATGCACCACGGGGCTTTGGGACAGGACCCAGGATGCTCCACGACGCCCTCCGCCTTCCCACAACTCTCAGTGGCAGAAGAGGAAGAGATGCTCTGTGCGATAGTTGCCCATAGTGCACTGCTCTGAATATCACTGCAAGTGCTGCAAGCGTAAACATGCTATTGCACAGGCAGCTGACAGTGTGAACACACAACAGTGGTTTCCCTTCATTGCTCTCTGAGCGGTACTCTAACTGCCGGTACTGTAACTCTGCCAGTGTAGACATACCCTCAGATGCTGAGCTATCTGCTGGAGTGCTGGATATTTTTTGGTGGAGATGGGGATCAGCAGAAGCGGACAACAAGAGAAGCACTAGAAACATGTCCCTGAGAGAACACCAAGAGGCTTTCTTACAATATTTTGAGGCAGAATGCTGACTGGAAAGAGGCTTGGAACTATGAGCAAAGTTACTGACTCCTGTTTGATTCCTACTGTGTTCAGGGGAACAGGCCTTTGCATATATTCTTTGTAAACAGTATTGCACCAAAATAATACCTGACCCAGGAACTATGTTAAAAGGGTACGTTTAAGCTTGGCAGAATTTGATTTTTATTGTTTTATAATTTGACAGATATCTATGTTTGTTTTTAAGCTTTTATTCTATTTTTACTTGTTTAAATTTTCACAGTTGCACGAAATTATGGGTGGGTCAGTCAGTGGGAGGTGTCATTCAATATGTATTTAATAACAGTAGACAAGGAGATTCAAAAAGATAAAGCTGTATAACTGTTAAAGCACAAATTGCCAATATCACATGTCAAAATATACAAAGTAAGTATCCTTAAATCAAACACTAAAGTTCTGAAACAGCATTTTTCTTACTTTGCCTGTCTGTAAATTTTGATGATTATTATTGATGGAAATATTTTTTTCATTGGTTTGTGTGTGTGTGGTGGAACTGATTGTCACACTGTCTGGAAGGGCTCACAACCATGGCTTCCAACATCAGGGCAGACTATCAAAAAGCATGGCAGAAACCCCAAACTGGTTCTAGGTTCTATAATTAGATTTCACTAACACAGTAACAAGATTCCTAAAGCACTATAACGGTCTTACATTAAGTCACAGACAGTCCCCTTGGGCATTCCAATATATGTTGCCCCCAGGCAAGCTGGACTATATGATAGATGGTCACTTACACCAAAATCACATCAATATTTAGGTTACTCCCAATCCCAAAGGACCAGTCACTTACCCCAGGTCATTTGTACTCAGATCTCAAAACATGATACAACACCTGTAACTAATCCTGTAATAAATTAACTAAAGATTTAGTAACTAAGAAATAAGTTATTTACAAGGTTAAAACAGGAAACAGATACACACACACGAGTTTCAATCTTAAATTTAAAAGGGTAATATAAGCTTCTATAATAAGCAGTTCTATATGTCCTTTAGGGGTGACTCATGCCAAGCAGCATGGGGATCTCCTGCTTACGTTTAGGAACCTGTGTCCCTCAGAGTCCAGACAGCATAAAGAGACGTAGATTCTTCTTCTAAGGGATTTTTATTCTCCCCGCACCCATCCAAGCTGATCGGTGATGGCATAGGCATGGGAAGTAGAGGTGCAGGGGGTGCTACAGCACCCCCAGGTTTTACACGGGGCTCTGCTCCCAGCCCTGCATGTGGGGTCCCAGCTGCTGGCCCCGCCCAGGGCTCCGCTCCAGGACCCACCCCCAGCTGTAGCCCCAGCCTCAGCCTCCTTACCTGTGTCCGGGTCCTCCACTCCCGGAGACACGGCCCTGCTCCCAGCCCCATCTCGGGAGGGGTGGGGGAGGATGTGGACGGGGTAAGAGGGCTGGTTTTCAGCACCCCTACTATTAAAAAATGTTCCAGGGCCATTGGGTGATGGAATGAGTTCATGGGTAGGCTTCCCCTTCCTGGAAGGAGCGAGGAAGCCATCACAACAAGCTTCCACGGTAAACATCTGATGAAGTGAGCTGTAGCTCACGAAAGCTCATGCTCAAATAAATTGGTTAGTCTCTAAGGTGCCACAAGTACTCCTTTTCTTTTAACAAGCTTCCTGTCCTTTGATGCCACAATGCCTCATTTGCCTTCAATGGGCCATCTTGTATGCAGGAGGAGTACATTACCTTAATTAATGCTGCTTTTCCTGTTTGGTGAGTTACTCAGTTACAGAACTTTACAATGCAAACACTCAATGTAACTTCATATAATGGGATACAGATATTATAAGTAGGATTAATACACTACAGCATCCTATGAGCATTCCATAATGTCTAAACACATTCTTATAACACTAATATCTATTTTAACTATACCAACCCACAGGTAAGTCAGACGGGTTTCCAGCTATACATTTGTAAGCGTTCCGTCAGGCGGGCAGCTTTGGTATGAACTGGCACCTGATCTGCCAGCATCACAATAAGCTATTACCAGCAGGACAGTGGGGTGGGAGGAGGTATTGTTTCATATTCTCTGTGTATATATAAAGTCTGCTGCAGTTTCCACGGTATGCATCCGATGAAGTGAGCTGTAGCTCACGAAAGCTCATGCTCAAATAAATTGGTTAGTCTCTAAGGTGCCACAAGTACTCCTTTTCTTTTTGCGAATACAGACTAACACGGCTGCTACTCTGAAACCATCACAATAATGTTTACCAACATTTACAGATAAAGATCTAATCCTTCCAAGCCTGATTCCTGAGTCTGTACATTTCTCTGTTATCTAGTAAATAGCTGTGAAACCCACTGGCAAAATAGTTCTTCCTATCTAGTGGCTTATCCGCATAAAGGAGAACAATCTATTACTACAACCAAGTATTTCATTAGCTCAAGTGATAGACAGAGGTCTGTGCTGTGCATCTAAAGGTCCCAATCATCTTAGTGATGCATGTGGAGGGTCAATATCATTCCACTTAATGGATTTTTTTTAATTTGCTTTTTTAAAATTTAGGAAATTACATAAAATTACACAACAACTAATTTTGCAAAGTCAAGCACTCAAAAGCTAGGAAATGCTAGAATTAAGGTTGCCTATGCCACCTTACTTTGGCCCCTAAGTATTGTGATGCAGACTTTAATTACATGATCAAATTGTGTGTTGCCCACAAGACCCGCTCCTTGTTCAGTGCATAGGATGAATGGTACTCAAGAGTACAAAATGAGAGATTGTATCGTGAATGAAAGGCTATTATCTGTAAGACCCTGGCTTCATTTGTTGTAGAAGTTAAAATATGTGAAGCGAAGGACGCAGGGAGACTGCAGGAAAAGAAAGAATGGTCTCATGGTTAAGGCAATTAAATGCCATGCTGCAGAACTGGATTCTATCCCTGCCTCTCCCACAGATTTCCTATGTGATACTGGGCAAATCACTTAAACCAAACTTGTCACAAGTGACTGCTAATGGTGTGTTCCGCATTTTCTGGATGCCCAACTTGAGGGTTAACTGAATTGCTCAATACTCAGAGCTGCAGCTGAAATCAATGGAAGTTGTGTTTTGAATATGTACAGAGCTACAAAAATGCCAAATACTTAAAAAAAAAAAAAAAGTCCTAGATTTCTCAAATTCAGCACCCAAAATTACAGTACACCCCTTACAGGTTGGGCCATAAAAGGGATGTGCATCAATTCTCCATCTGTAAAGCAGAGATAACAAATTACCTCAGAGACATTTAGCAAAGATAAAGTAATTTATGTGTGAAGCACTAAGCTACAATGCTGATGAGCGTCCATGATGAGAAAAGCCCACGAGGAAATTAATAATCCTATACGCGATGCAGGGTTTAATTGTAGTAAATTAGGCAGGGGCCACACACCAAATGCTAGTATGAAAATGAATACTGAGCAACTTCCATTCAGAGAGCACTGTTCACCCTCTGCACTGACTGAGGCAGGGTCCTGTGGAAAAGACAGTACATGATTAACGTAAGAACATAAGAGGCTGCTGTCGTGGATCAGACAATAGTGTATCTTGCTCAGTATCCTGTTTCCGACAGTTGCCGATACCAGAGCTTCACGGAGACCATATAGAAGAAAGCAACTATGGAGTGATCCATGCTTGTGTTCCACTCCTGTCTTCTAATATAGGTTTAGGGTGGCCTTGACAATGGGATTGCGTCCCTGACTATCTTTGCTAATGGTCATTGATAGACCTATCCTCCATTAATTTATCTAGTTTTTTTTTTAAACCCAGTTATACTTCTGGATTTATATAGTGGCATTATGGTATTCTTGTTGCAAAAAAAGCAAATGTCATTCTGGGATGTATTAGCAGGAGTGTTGTAAGCAAGACATGAGAAGTAGTTCTTCTGCTCTACTCTGATTAGGCCTCAACTGGAGTATTGTGTCCAGTTCAGGGTGTCACATTTCAGGAAAGATATGGACAAATTAGAGAAAGTCCAGAGAAAAGAAACAAAGATAATTAACAGTCTAGAAAACATGACCTATGAAAAAACTGGGTTTGTTTAGTCTGGAGAACAGAAGATTGAGAAAGCACATGATCATGCATCCGATGAAGTGAGCTGTAGCTCACGAAAGCTCATGCTCAAATAAATTGGTTAGTCTCTAAGGTGCCACAAGTCCTCCTTTCCTTTTCACATGATAACAGTTTTCAAGTACATAAAAGGTTGTAATAAGGAGAAAAGAGGATAAATTATTCTCCCTAACCTTTGAGGATAAGCCAAGAAGCAATGGGCTCAAATTGCAGCAAGGGAGGTTTAGGTTGGACATTAAGAAAAGCTTCCTGTCAGGGTGGTTAAGCCCTGGAACAAACTGCCGAGGGAGGCTGTGGAATCTCCATCATTGTTGGCGAGCAGGTTAGACAAACGCCTGACAAGCCCGGTCTAGAGCCGGGGGTCTCAAACTTCACTGCACCATAACCCCCTTTTAACAGAGATCAGGACACGACCCCAGGAGGGGGGACCAAAGGCTGAGCTCGCCCGAGCCCCGCCGCCCTGGGCAGGGGGGCCAAAGCCCAAGCCCCACCGCCCCAGGCCTGAGCCCCACCAACCGGGGCTGAGGCTGCTGGGCCCGGGCTTTGACCCTGGGCCCCAGCCAGCCTCAGGCCAACGCTGGCGTCGCCAAGCGGACTCACAGCCCGCCCCGGCGTCCTGGCCCCAGCCTGCGAACTGCCGGGGAGCGGGCGGGGGCCGGCCGGGGAGCGGGCGGGGGCCGGGGGCCGGCCGGGGAGCGGGCGGGGGCCGGGGGCCGGCCGGGGAGCGGGCGGGGGCCGGGGGCCGGCCGGGGAGCGGGCGGGAGCCGGGGAGCGGGAGCGGGCGGGAGCCGGGGAGCGGGCGGGGGCCGGGGAGCGGGCGGGGGCCGGGGCCGGCCGGGGAGCGGGCGGGGGCCGGGGAGCGGGGGCCGGCCGGGGAGCGGGCGCGGGCGGGGGAGCGGGAGCCGGCCGGGGAGCGGGGGCGGGCCGGGGCCGGCCGGGGAGCGGGAGCGGGCGGGGGCCGGGGAGCGGGAGCCGGCCGGGGAGCGGGGGCGGGCCGGGGCCAGCCGGGGAGCGGGAGCGGGGGCCGGGCCTGCAGGGCTGCGCGCGGAACGGGCGTTTTCAGAGACCCGCGTTGCCAGGGGCCTCGCGCCCAGCAACCGCCGCCATTTTGTTTCCCTCCCCCGCCCGTTCCGCCAGCTGAGCTCCCCTCTGACGCCTGCGGCCAGCGCGGCCCAAGCGAGCCTGAGGAGCCCGCGGCGAGCCCGGCCCGGCTCCGCAGGGGGCGAGCGGCGAACCGCCCGCCTGGGCCCGGCCTGCGAAAGCCCAAAGCCAGGGCCGGGCCGCGGGCAGAAGGACGTCTGGGCCCCCCCAATCAGCGCGCCACAGCCAGAATAAGCGGCGCCCATTGGACGTTGCCCGCCCGGCCGCGCCAATCAGGGCCTTTGTTTAGGGTTACGTGAGGAGAAGGAGGCGTTTGCCGGTCACAGCCAATAGACGGAGCAGAAGGCCGAGTGATCAGCGGTCACCTGGCTCGCCCCTCTCGACTCATTGATTGGCTACGGAGTCTGTCCGTTTAGCGCGACTCGTTTCCTGTTCGTTGGCAGAGCTGTCAGGGTTTTGTGTCCACCATCAATGCCCGCTTCCTTTTCCCGGTGATTGGCTGATAGAGTTGTCAGTGAAACGATTCCACTGTCTGATTGGTTATGGGAACTGTCAGCTAATGACCTTCTTTCCCTCTCAGATCCTCCCTGTGACTGGTGAGTGGCTGTAGAATGTGTCAGTGCAGCGCTTCTCCTCACTGATTGGTTCTTCGGGCTGTCAGTAGGCTCCCTTCTCTCGACATGCCCGCCCCGTGTTGTCAGTGATTGGCCGCAGGAAGTGTCAGTTCGGCGGCTCCCCCAATGGGCGGCCCGGGGTGTGTGCGGTGCGCGCGGTGTGGCCGGCCCGGCGGCGGCGGCAGCGGGAGGAGGCGGCGGCGGCGCGCGCCTGGATCCCGGTCGCGAGGAGGCGGAGGAGGATGTGGCGCGCGGAGGGGAAATGGCTGCCGAAAACAAGCCGGAAGGTGAGAGCGCGGCGGGGCCGGGCCCGGCCCCTCAGCCCGGCCGGGGAGCGGGGCGCATCCGCGGGGCAGGCGCCCAACGCCGCGGGCCGGGCCGCGCAGCCCCGCGCCAGAAAGTTTCGCTGTGCCGGGCGGAGGGGGGCGCGGCCCAGCCCGGCGGGGCAGGGTACCGGCGTCCCCCGTGCGGGGAGCGAGCCGCGGGGACGCCCCCTCTCGGGCCGCTGGCGGGGGAAGGGCACCACCTCCCCCGCCTCCGCCATTGGGCCGGGGCACCCATCCCCCGCCTTCCCACCACGGACCCGTCCGGCCCTCGGACCTCCCCTGCGCCGGGGGGGGCAGGGCACCCCCTTCTCCCCGTGGGGGGGCCCGGCCACGGCACCCCGTCCCCCGCTTCCCCCCTCCCGCACCGTGGGGGGGCCCGGCCACGGCACCCCGTCCCCCGCTTCCCCCCTCCCGCACCGTGGGGGGGGCCCGGCCACGGCACCCCGTCCCCCGCTTCTCCCCCCCGCACCGTGGGGGCCCGGCCACGGACACCCCGTCCCCCGCTTCTCCCCCCCCCGCACCGTGGGGGGCCCGGCCACGGCACCCCGTCCCCCGCTTCTCCCCCCTCCCGCACCGTGGGGGGGCCCGGCCACGGCACCCCGTCCCCCGCTTCCCCCCTCCCGCACCGTGGGGGGGGCCCGGCCACGGCACCCCGTCCCCCGCTTCCCCCCTCCCGCACCGTGGGGGGGGCCGGCCCCGGGCACCGTCCCCCGCTTCTCCCCCCCCCCGCACCGTGGGGGGCCCGGCCACGGCACCCCGTCCCCCGCTTCTCCCCCCCCTCCCGCACCGTGGGGGGGCCCGGCCACGGCACCCCGTCCCCCGCTTCTCCCCCCCTCCCGCACCGTGGGGGGGCCGGCCACGGCACCCCGTCCCCCGCTTCTCCCCCCCTCCCGCACCGTGGGGGGGCCGGCCACGGCACCCCGTCCCCCGCTTCTCCCCCCCTCCCGCACCGTGGGGGGGGCCGGCCACGGCACCCCGTCCCCCGCTTCTCCCCCCCTCCCGCACCGTGGGGGGGGGCCGGCCACGGCACCCCGTCCCCCGCTTCTCCCCCCCTCCCCGCACCGTGGGGGGGGGCCGGCCACGGCACCCCGTCCCCCGCTTCTCCCCCCTCCCGCACCGTGGGGGGGCCGGCCACGGCACCCCGTCCCCCGCTTCTCCCCCCCTCCCGCACCGTGGGGGGGGGGCCAGCCACGGGCACCCCGCCCTCCTCTTCTCTCCTCCCTGTTGGGGGGGGCCCAGCCACGGCTCCCTGTTCCCCCCTTCTCCACCTCCCCCCTCCCGCCCTGTAGGGGGGCCGGCCACAGGCACCCTGTCCCCTACTTCTTCCCTCTCCCCCGTACCATGGGGGGGGCCAGCCACGGGCTCCTCATACCCCACTTTTCCCCTCCCCCACTCCTCCCCATGGGAGGGCTGGCCATGGGCACCCTGTCCCCCACTCCTTCTCTCCCCCACTCTCCTCCTCTCCCATTCTTCTGCGCCATGGGGGGGGCCGGCCACAGGCACCCTGTCCCCCACTTAGCCCCTCTTGTGAGGTGGTGAGGGCTGTCCAGGGGCTCCCCGTCTGCCCACTCCCCTCCCGCGCCATGGGGGTGGGGGGTATCGTGATCCATAGGGGACCACCATGGGGGGGGAGGGCAGGCTGCAAGCACCCCTTCCCTTCTGCCATGGGGGGGAAGGGCAAGGGCAGGCCGTGGGTCCTCAATCCTCCACCTCCTCACGATGCAGATGAGGGTGGGCTGCGGATACCCAGCTGCATCCTCACGCCCCCCTTCCCCTACCATGGGGGAAACCTTTGTCTAATAAACAATAATAATGTACATTCCCAAGTATCTCTCCTCAGGGAAGAAGGTAGGGAAAGCATGTGTCCACCAACCCTGGTCAGGGCATGTGTACCACTTCACTATGAGGGAGGGGATGGCCATACAGAATGAACTTCCTCACTTCACCATGTGAAAAGGCGTGGGATGCAGGCTCCACCACCATGGGGGAAGAGCTGGGCATCCTGAGCCCCACAGTCGGGGGAGTGCGGAGCAACATTTGCTCCCATCCCCTTGTGAGAAGATGATGGGCAATATATATGAGGCCCATGTAGGAAGGGGAGGATAGGGCAGACAGCTCCTGTTTTGGGTGTGAAAGAGAATGTGCACATGTACATACCCCCTGTACGTGGGAAGGGCTGGGCATACATGTGCCTTCCATTTGGGGCAAATAGAGGGCATGCTTTTGTGTACACGCACCTGTGGCAAAGGGCAGGTTATACATATGCACACCCTCCTGTTTGGGGGAGCAACTTATTTATGTTTTAACTATTTATTAAAATTAACCAATTCACGTCTACCTATTCATGCACATAACTGGCTTATATTAATGCGTTTTGTTGTTGCAATTTTCCTCTTCATCTTTTCCATCTTGTGTGTTGCATCTTGTGTTGTTTTACCTTTTATTATGCTCCTTGGGGTGGGAACTGTTTTTTTTTCTCTTTTCAGTGCCGGTCACAGTGGGGCCCTAATTAAGCTGCTACTCGAATATAAATACTGAATAATCTGAGCATGCTTGTGGTTGGTAGTATCCGCTGATGGGAATGCTACAGTATGGCATTTGGAACCTTCCTTCCAATCCCACCAACTGACATTGTAGGTGCACACCCACTGCACTCCTCTATAGGCAAGGTGTAGCATTTTGGCCCTCAAGGAGATGGCCAAGTATAACGTGGTCAGTTCTCCACAATGTGGAGGGCAGGCCAATTACAATTTGCCCATGTAAAGAAATGGTCATGGCATGTGCACCCATTTTGACAAAAAAGCTGATCACCATATGGGGATGGATCAAGACATGTATACTCCTGTCATGAGTTACAAGTTCTTCAGAGCAGGGACAACTGTCTGTTTGCGCTTTGCTTCTCATAATGTGGCCCTGATCCCAGTTGGGACATCTGGGAGGATCATAATATGCATAGCAATAATTGTACCCACCTCATGGCAAGGGGCTGGGTGTGTGCTGCTCATGGGATGTAGAAGGCAGATGCTGTCCCTAGGTGGCATAGCCCGTGGGGAGGAGTCAGCAGATCATACACTTTTCTCACTGGATGATGAAGATTACCCAGTGGAATGGAAAGAGCAATTGTAGGAGGACCCTCCCCTGTGAAAAGTGGTGCATCTCCCCTTACGCAAGAGCATGTACATTCTCCCCACACACATTGTACTCCACCCCTAGGGGGAAGGGCCACCACCACTTGCAGCCCCTCTTGTCACCATAAGTACTGCAACTAAAATTGAGTATATGAGTGCCGAGAGGGTGAATATGTTTTCTGTACTGAATATACAGTTATTACTCTCTATATGTTATTACTTACGTATACATATGCACATGAGTTTCTAAACTTTTAATAAAAAGAAAAGGAGTACTTGTAGCACCTTAGAGACTAACCAATTTATTTGAGCATGAGCTTTCGTGAGCTACAGCTCACTTCATCAGATGTATACCGTGGTATATTCCATAGCTCACGAAAGCTCATGCTCAAATAAATTGGTTAGTCTCTAAGGTGCTACAAGTACTCCTTTTCTTTTTGCGAATACAGACTAACACGGCTGTTACTCTGTAAACTTTTAATGTGTTCTTAGTACAGCTCACTCCATAGCAGGAGATTGGCATGTGCACTCTCC